CGTTCCTTTTTTTCCACTTCCGCCACCGACAGCGGCGAGCGGGACCTTTACTCCGACATCTCATTCTCCTCAGCCTACCAATAAATCATAGCCCACATGCCTGCTTTTTATTTATTGTAAACGGCACTCGACCTCGGCCAACAACAGCGCGCCCTATTTCACTAGCTGCTCTATCATTTAGCAATATAACCTAGCGAGAAGAAGCTACGGCCTCTCTTAAATAGCAAAGCAAATTTAAATTTTATTTGAATGTGTCCACGAGGCCATTTCCAAGGTGGACCAAGACAGGTGGATTATTATTACAAAATCATTCCCTATTATACATTCGAGCCCAAGTATTCGAAAAATTTCACTTGCCCGATACATTGGAAATTGAACGGCAATTGAATAGGAAAAATGAAATTTTCAACTGTTAATCTAAATTAAAGAGCTACGCACACACGCGCGCGCGCATAAATATTAACGAACGCGTATAAACACGCGGAATTAGAATGGCGTCAGGCAGTCCACCGCGAAATTATGGATTATCCCAATATTGTTGTCTCGTTTAATGTAGACTTACTAATCCAGTTCAAAACATTCTGTGAATTTAAATTGAATTCTATATCTTATAGGACTATATATATATAACACTTTTTTCTCACTTTTTTTTTTTTTTTTTTTTTTTTTTTTTTTTTTTTTTTTTTTTATCAACCACACTTGCTAAACAGTCTTATCAGTGCTTATTTCCATTTGTCGTATTTAAATTATCAAAATTTTATGTTGTACTATATTGAAATTATAGAATAACGTTAGAACACGCCAAAAAAAAAAACCAAGATTTATCATACGAATAGGTGTAAAAGTACAGCTAAAATTCAAAATCGCATATTCAAGTAAAGAGTGAGCGACGGCAGGATAGGAGACGGCACAAATCGAGTAACATTGTCCTTTCTCCGAGCCTATTTCAACATCCATTTCTTTCGACAGTGTGTGTATTAATACATTGGCATTGTGATATAAACTATGAAAGGAGAATGTTTCTTGCACAATGTAAAAGCTTAAAGCGTTCGCGTGCAAATATCTTAGTGATGGTGTTTGCGAGGCTCGAGGCTATGCTTCGAAACTTTGCTCTCGCGGGACACTGACTTTGAGAAGCAATGAATTACGTTTCCTCTGGCGTCTCGAAAAGAGAAACTACAGCCTCTTCTTCATTCAGCAGTGCAGCGCGCGATTCGGGCGAATTGGCAGGTCTTTACATTCGCGCGCGTTTCGAAAGAAGCCTGGCTTTATTCCCCGTGCGTCACGACGATGCCTTTCACGGCTGCCTCCCGCTACACCCGGACGAGGAAGAGGCGAGATTTATTTGGCGCACAAATGACAAGGCCGCCCCATTCGGACGTCGCGGCCTCGTGGTGCTCGTTCCGCACGGGCGAGCGCAGGACGGTCCCGGGTTATTATTAAATGCGCGTCTTCGAGATGTCGCGAGGGCCTGGCCGATAACCACCAATCGACGTTTCACTCTCCTCTCTTATTCATCCGCGATGGCATTTGGCTTTTGCGGAATTTTGCGCAAGAGGGCGAAATTGGCCACGGGCGAACGTATAGCGCGACGTCTGATGTCGATAACACGAGACTCGATCCTCGGTATCAAAGAGCCAAAATCGTATTATTGTGTGATAAAATTGTCACGCGAGCTGTAGCTTGACTTAGCTCGAGGACATTTCGCCCGTTCAATCGATGCTTTCAAGAAATGCGTAAGATTTTACGACACTAGCGAGTAAAAACATTTTTCTCCGATCAGACGCGTACCTATATATATATATATGCAGATGTGTATAAACAAACGCGCCCACATACACACACACACACACATACGCGCGCGCGCGCAAATCAACGATCGATTTAGAAAAGTCCATCGATAGTTGGTGAGAATTAATTCAGCTCGCTACACCCTAATGAGAACATGCAGTTTTGACAATTTCAATAAGATTTTTAATGTATTGTAAATAAGAAACTATCGCTCTCTTAATAACGAAACATCAATTTACAAAGTTCAACGAATTTTTATCAAATTTATAAATTCAATTAATCCTCATTTGGTTTATTCACAAAGCCGAGGATTCCGTTTCATTCGAACGCAATGTTCACAAAATGTAATATTTCTTCCCACTAATATATTTTTATTTCAATAACATAAATATATTGATTCCATTGTGAACACACATTTTCATCGCGATCGTCTTTAATATTATTCCAAAATCATCGGATTTATAATTTGTTGAACGCTAATGCTCTTGAGAATAAAAATTCGTATTATCGCTACGATTTCAATTGCAAGTGCATTTGTATCTTGTACATTTCTCGCTGCATTTGAAAGTGCGATAACAGATAAATAGAACAGCGCTTGCTTTGAAAATAAATAGTCTGGAGATTTAATTTTTGCTCTTTCGCACAATGCAACATGGGCTCATTAGTTGTACACAGCTGCTTATTCCGTCTGACAGTTTATTTTTACTCAAACTGTTTTATGGGCCTTTTTATGGGTACTTTGCACATTCTGCGTATCGATAGAGAAGTAGTTTATTTGAACTATCGATACAACACTAACAATAACAACAACAACAAGGACGACGACGACGACGACGACGACGACGACGACGACGACGACGACGACAACAAAAAGATTGAACACGATAAAAAGGTATTCGTCTATCATTAATCTATAACCAACATGTTTACACTGGCACACGCACGTACGAAATATCCCTCGTATGGTCGAGTCATTCTTTCATGTCCATATACGTATGCATACGTGCATATATGTACATATGTGTACATACTATAGAGTCTCACGGTGGCTTGATCAAACTTTTATTCTTCCATCCGTTCGTCATTTAAAGCTGCATGCCACTTAATGTATACACTAGTCGATCACACAATAACGGATCAGCTGTTAATACTTAATGCGATTTGTTCTCTCTCTCTCTCTCTCTCTCTCTCTCTCTCTCTCTCACCCCTGCCCGTCGTCATGCTACCGCGAGCAGCCCCGACTTCCCCTTTCTTTCGCAGCAATCCAAGCTACTATCCCCGATAAAGCACTTTCGGCTATGAAAACTGACCTCCCCTCTGCAACTTTTCGATCGCGCGCTCGGCACTTTGGAAACACTCGACGAAGAGGCGCAACATCAGCTGTTTTGCTGACGTTGGGAGCGCGACTCGACAACGACACCACCAGCAGCAGCAGCCTCGGCAGCCTCGACAGCCTCGACAGCAGCACGCTCATCGCCAGAGTCTCGATTGGACATTCCCGCGAATTTTCAACGAGTAATGCACGCGAGGGAATCGAGTCTCCCTCCCGCCCTGCCAAGCATATATAGGGCGGCCGTTGCTGAGCGAGGCGCGTCATGCGCACAGACGAGCATCCCCCGAGGGGTGGAGAGGTCGAGGGACCGACCGGAGACGGGTGCGCTCGGGAATAGAGGCACGGACAAAGACATACATCGGGACAGGCAAGGGGCGAGCAAAATCGAACGCTCGACTCCGGGGACTTTGATACTTGGGCGACTTTATCTGGGGATTCTGTTGGTGCGCGACGGTTGAAATTGGAGCGGCGCCAAACGAATGGAAATTCATCGCTCGACTATTTTCCAGAGTTCCGATTCTCGAGATGTGTGCGTGTGGGAGGGCCTCCGAGGGGAGAGGGGAGACACAAAAAATTTTCCATGACAACGAACAGCTCTCCATCGTTAAGCCGTTGAACATTACCTGCCTGAACTTGGCGCGGCGGCGACGGCGGGTGGATGGTGGTGGATGAGAGGGGGGGAGGATTCTTTACGACGCATCCACCGAGTAAAGAAAAATCCATCGCTTGCCTCCTACTCTCCATCTTCATCCCTCCCAGTAAACTCGGTGATGAAGCTCGGAGGCAAATAACTAATCGGCTAATACATTGATTGTACTGGGCGATATGATCGGCGAGGAGAATAATGAGACTAATGGTCACCGAGCAGTTTTGCCCGAAATGTCGGCCCTCGGATTTCCTGCATCTCTATTTACAGATTTCCAATACTCTTAGTCTTTTATCATTACACATATAGAAAAAGAGAGGGGCGATCAAGAGATAGAGATAGAGAGAGAGAGAGAGAGAGAGAGAGAGAGACAGACAGACAGACAGACAGACAGACAGACAGAGACAAAGATTGTGCGGCGAGAATCATTTATTTTGCTCGTTCTTTGAATGTTCTGGGCCACGACATTCGCTGCAGTGGCTTTTGGGCCGATTTAAGCTGGCCTTGGGAACACTTTAATTGAAAATCAGGGATAACCTATACTAGGGCATTTTGCACTCTCGTTCGTATCTACGAAGCTTAGATGAATAAAAAAATATTCATATCAAAATCCTCGAATTTGTCATTCTCTCGTTCGTTTACTTACGTAAATCGTTCCAAAGATTGTTACCATAGCGTATTAACGAATGCCATTAGACAAAGTTTAAAAATAATGTTCGGAGCAGAATAGTGTTAAAAAAAAAACAAAAAAAAACAGAAAGAAAATTAATTTATCGTATCTGAAAAGAGTTGTGTAAGCATTACTCTATTAATCCCCATAAAAGAATTTATAAGCTACGCTACTGCATTAAACAGGAATTTAATTGTCATATTTCATTAATGACAATCAATGAAGATACCAAAGTTGAAGTAATAGTCGAATAATAACTTTAGTATCCGATAGAAAAAAATATAAAAAAGGTTAGTGTGTTATTTCTTGATTGTAGAGCGCAGGAATAACGATCTTTACAGGAACATGTACGAGATTATATCAAGGCAAAATTGCGTAAAATGACGAGT